CGAGAACTTTAAGTTTGTTGCTTCGAAACGAGTGCAATAATTAAACTGAAATATTAAACATAAATGGGCGCCGAAAACAATAGTAATGTTGGAACAAAAGAACTCATGCAAATAAGAGTTCAATTAATTCAAAATTATAAAACTAAATGTTCACAATGGAAGGGGTAAATCCAAGGACTAAAATGCACGCAGAAAATTATTAATAATATATTAAACAGTAAACGAAGATCGGAAAAAAGTAGCGAAAACATCACGAAATCATTGAGTCTAACAATTCGATAAGTCATTTCCATCATTCAATTTCCTTAAAGAGATCACAAAAGGATACGATCAATACAAATGTAGGATGAAGCCATTTGCACCCAATTTGCATAAAAAACGAGGAGAGCATTCGATATACGAATGACATCAACGTGATCCTTGTCACATGTAGTGTGACTGTCACACTGAGACTGTACGAGTAACTTTGTTGGAATGGAAAGATAAGTCCATCTTCTTTCTCTCTCTCTGCTAGTTCCTTGTGTACAAAGGAAGAAGAGTTGATATAATGCAATCGAAGAAACGGAGACAGGAATATGGGACGGGACGGGAAGAAGATTGCTCGATAGAGAGATCTGTGGGTTATTTGAAGGTGCACTCGTTGTGCTTAAAACTGTTTTCTTTTCGAACGATTATTATCATGATTTCGCTTGAACGGGAGATCAATCACTTTTGCAGATATTCCAATAGTCTTCTGGAAGATGCTTTTCAGATTCCCGGGAATTATTTCTAACCTTTTTCCTTTTGATCGAACATGAAAAGTTCAGTTCTCCCATTTCAACACACACATTTATTCGTTATATGTTATTGCACACAAAATCCTAACTTCTTACAAGCCATTTTTTGAACCACATTGCTTTTTATCATTTTTATCGTAGTGAGAGATAATGATATTCCTAAAACTTCTAGATTCAATTACAATTATACAATGATTGTACGGATCCTGAAATTTACCTGAGGGAGACAGGTACAATATCCATATACAGCAGCCCTAGGTTCAAATTACTAAATTTGACTTAAGATAATTCTCAAAGTGATGAGGAGATAAGAATATGATGTTCTGCAAAAGTCGATCCTTTCAAAGGCTTGTTTAAAGTCGGTCTTTTTTTTTCAGCTCACGTTGTATATATCTTTACAACGTGGTGTGACAAAATACTATCAGTCGCAAAAAATGAAGTAAAGTACTGCTCTAAAGTCCGAACCTTTGAATTGTCACCATAAGCAGGGAGCTCAGTAAAACAATTTATCAGCCGGCGAAATATTTAGAATAGTAATTAATGCGAAATTGATGAGTGGAAATGAAGGGAGAATAAAGAGTCTGGACTGAAAATATGAGTCTTATATATGACAGACAAATTCGAGAGGTTAATAATGTCCAAGAGCGGTACATATACATGACGTCAACAAAAGGTGTCGCCGATTTTCTTCAATCGTGACAAAAACTGAGAGTTCTTTCTGCCTCTTTAGTTGGTAGTACCTAAAACTTGGGTAATCAAACTTTTATTATGATAAATTCATTAATACAACAACAAACATGCAATTACGACATCGATACAACAAGTTAATAACGAAAACACTAAGAACAAAAAAGATTAAATCACACCCGATACTCTATATCCAACCGACCTCAACAAAACACATTTGTAAAAGTGGATTGGTGCTCAGGACCCTTCGCTTTCTCGACTGGAAGAGTCCTTGTTTTATGATTACAAGAATTAGCTTCCTTATTGAGCACCTATTGGTATAGGGCTCTTTGTTAGCGCAAGCGTAAGACGATATGAGCATATAAAACAAAGACGTCTGACTTTCAAAAACAGCGATAAAAGAGATTTACAACACAATTTCCAGATGGTACAGTAGTCACAACGAATTCTTTATCTATTACAGTATATAGGCAACTAATATGGATAAGCGAAAGAGGAGGGAAAATTGAAATATCACTGATCAATATGAGCTGTAGCTAAACTGTGAAAATCTGCTTAGAATTTCCCGGTACTGTCAGTCGAGGCGGGGAATATTTGACAGGTTTTTTCAACCCACATGAAGATTTGCTAATATGATGTCGCGATGCTTTCTCAATTTTCTGTCTATTTTATGCTTCAATGGTGTAAATATCAAATCATAGTTGTTTTTCTTTTAGATTGGAATGAAGATTTTGGATCTGATATGGTTTGAATATGAATTAAATTGGTTTTTATGCGAAATATCCAACTTTTTCTTGAAATTTTCTAGATCCGATCAGATTTCCACTTTTTTTCCCAATTTTTTTGAAATAAGTTTTTTTCAAAGTTTAATAGTAACTTTGGATTAAATGGGATCGTCATATGTAATAAGAAGTTCTGGTAAAAAATAGTTAGCACAAGTGATGATGAAGAGATGAAGGTGAATTTTGTAACTTTACTATACAAAGTTTATGGTAAGT